TATGTATCAGTCAAATCATTTTAAAATACTTTGAAATCACATAAAACTTAGTTTAACTAAGATAGAACATTAATAATATTTTTAAACAATACCTTGATAATTTTTAATACAAGATATATAAACTCATAATTAATATAGTAGTTAATTTTATGAATCAAAACAACTAAACAATTACAAATTCAGAAAATCATCACTTCTACATAAACAAAAATTAAGAGTTGTTAAATGATTTTCTTGGGTACAAATACTATATATCTAGCTGAAATTTTGAATGATCATCATCTATGAAATATATGTTTTTCATTAGACGACAAAAAATGCTATTCATTAATTTTCTAGTCATATTATTATAGTTAGTCGACTCGGTGTCTTGAATTAATTATTCATACATTATATAGTTTTGTTTGATTATTTGTGGCCACATATGTAGACATTCGGCTTAAAGTAGATCTAATTTTTTGGATTATTTATACTAAAAGTGGTACCATACCATAACAATCATCTAATTAAATCCACTCCATTATCCTTAACCAACTTTTCAATTCTTAAATCTTTTGTTTTTTCTTCATCTACAATTCTTCCAACACGAGTCAAAGCCACAGTGACAAAAATATAGATATTATTTTTGTAACAAGTTATATGGACCATATAATATACAAAAGTCACAACCATAAAAATCTACGTGAACACTTTTAATTATTGTAGTACCATTGTTCAGAGCCCCTAATAAAAGGTCGTTCATCGATGAGACCCCTCATTCAAAACTGCTATTAGATATGTACCGTCCGATTTAAGTCATCATCGAACGACGATCTTTAATCGGGTCTACTGTATGACCCTACACTCGACCATAGCTGAATAAGATCCCTATTCTCACGGTAATCTAGTACAATCAGCCTTAGCAAAACCCACTCTCCTATTGGTCACATCGAACTCAACCCACAGATTTTGCTGATGAACGTTCCCGATTATGTTGCTAGCTGCACCAAGCATGCTCGACCGTCCGATGCCAAGACAGTGGACCCCGCCTCCTACGTTAACCAGAACCCTCTCTTTCGAAACGAGTATCTCAACTCCTCTCGTAAACTCGAACACAAGATCGCCTATCAACCGTTGGATCGCGATCGGGTTTCCCACAAAACACATGTCTGCTGTTCCACCATACACGTAATCCTTTTTAAGTCTCGGCCCCACAAGTTTCACTATCTCTTCTCTCACTTTATGGTAAGCCGCGTCAACCAAATGAGTAAACTCGGATCCTGAATCAACCATGGTTTGACCCGACCCGCCTGCATCCGGTCTGAAAACCGAACCGGAAATGTTAAGCTTCTTTCCTCCAATTCGGATCCCGATCATCGGCACAGTGTACGCAAGAGGATCTAGATTCGGCATGCGCTGACTCTCGGGAAAAGTCAAAAGAGAGACGTATTTAAAACCATGAGAATTCGGGTTTTCCCCGAGGTAAAACGAACCGGTCGGAGTAAAACCGGGACGGTTCGACCGTGGTGGTATACAGTAAGAGAATTTCGAAATCTTAGCTTGCGAAACGAAAGAGAGACGGCCACGATTCATACCCAAAATACCCCTATCGTCGGAGGACTCGGTAGCGCAACCAAGGATCAAAGGAGGGGTACTTTCGGTAATAGAGAAAGTGATTTTCTCTTTGACGAGATTACCCTCGGCGAAGGTTCCGTCTGCGTAGAAGTAAGAGTAGTGGCAGAGGCGGTTGGAGTCGCAAGAAGTGGGAAGGGTAAAATCGGGAATACGGGGTTTACAGAGAGGATGAGAGCAAGGCAAGTCGGAGAAGGAAGTGGAGAGGGAAGGATCGAAGGAGGTTGTGGGAGGAGGGAGCTTCTTTTTACGGTGGCATTGGATCCAAGAGAGTTGGCTTCCGGTGTCGAGAACCATTTGTTGGGTTTGTGGAGGAGTTCCGATAGGGAGAGAAATGATTAAAGCCATTGAGTATTTGAATTTTGATCGGAAGTTGTACGGAGGAGACGACGGAGATGGGTTACGGCGGGAGAGGAGGGAGGTGGTGAAGTGGGAGGAGGGAGAGTTGAGTGGGAGTGACGTGAGAGGGAGGTGGAGAGATAGAGAGGATGAGAGAGAAGCATAGTTAAGGAAGAAGAAGAGGAAGAAGAAGAAGACTGGTTTTGAAATGGGAGACATTTTTTTTTGTTTTTTCACTGTGAGGGGGAGATAGAGATGATAGAGAAGAAGAAGGCTATGGAAGGTGAAGTGTGTATATATAAGACTTAACACGCACACACACGTTTGATTACGATCTCTCTCATAAATACTGTTTCGGTTTTGTAAAAATAAAATACTAGTTTTTTTTTTTTTTGGATTAATAAGTTCAAATTTTAGGAGTCGACAAAAATACGACCGAAAATATGTAACTAAATATCCATTTTTTTCATAGATATACGCCAATATTTTTAGTTGATGAATTAATGTAGTACTCCATTAATTAATAAACAAACGATTTAACGCTCTCGAATTAAAAGAGAACTAGATTTTTATCCGCACTATGTGCGGGAACATTTATTGGGTATGTTGTAAACTAAACTTGACTTTCGTATTGTATTGAAATATTAATATCAGCTTAACAATTTTGAATTA